TGAAATTTAAAATAGGACTTTTCATCAGCCGCCATGTTTTTCGAACAGACAGATTTGACAATGGCGTATAATATATATTATACGTTAATGTATAAAGAAATATTATTTATTGAGTATTTTTTATTTAATAAAGAATTAAATATTCCATAATAACACCGCGTTTCTTTTCGTACAGGTATCATAATAATCGATTAAAAAAATTGGTTTGTTAATTGTGGCACTTAATTTTTTTCAATAATTAGACTTTCTTTGGTATTTTTTATATTAATTATCTATATTATTTATATTACTAACCTAACCTGTTTGTTTACAAAATGTCTGTTCGAAAAAAATGGCTGATACTATTTTTTGATGAAAAGCCCTATTTAGTATAGATGTCTAGTAACGTGTATGTTGGCGTAAAGGTCGATTCAAACACATCAGTCATGTCTCGTTACAGTCCCGGCACCGAACCGAACAATCCGTCATACGAAATATTTTTTAATAGAAATATGCCGTCAGCATTCACATTCATCAGTTGACGAACAGTTTCCCAGCTGTCAGATAATTAATAGTTCTGTGACCAAACAGGACCGGTTCGGCGCCGGGACTGATGTGTTTGAATCGACCTTAAGGTCGATTCAGACACATCAGTCACGTCTCGTCACAGTGATTGCGCCGAACCGAACAATCCGTCATACAAAATATTCTTTAATACAAATATGTTGCCGGCATTCACACTCATCAGTTGACAAACAGTTTCCCAGCTGTCAGATAGTTGATAGTTCTGTGACCAAACAGGACCGGTTCGGCGCCAAGACTATGACGGGACTGATGTGTCTGAATCGACCTTAAAGGTCGATTCAGACACATCAGTCACGTCATCGTCACGGCACCGAACCGGTCCTGTTTGGTCACAGAACTATCAACTATCTGACAGCTGGCAAACTGTTTGTCAACTGATGAGTGTGAATGCTGGCGCCATATTTGTATTAAAGAATATTTTGTATGACGGATTGTTCGGTTCGGTGCCATCACTGTGACGAGACGTGACTGATGTGTCTGAATCGACCTTTAGGCGGAAAATTACTCGAGTATTAAGTACTTATTCGTGTCACAGAATAATAAACAATCAGAATGCCCACTCTCCATGGAAAATTAAGTACGAGCATCTCGTTCGCGCAGACGTTCCGCCATTTTTTAAAGGGAACCAGTGTGGTTTATGTGGTGTGCATAGAAAAATTAACCCGGTTTAATTGACTTACGGAAATCATAGACATACTATACAATTATAATAACATTATTTAAATATAATAACATAAATATAATATAATTAAACATAAATATAAACAATTACATAACCTCACAAATCATATATCTGTGTTATGTGTTTCCTTCTAAAACATGGCGCGCGTGCTGAAAAACTTCAAAGGCGGCATCTGAGAGTGGGCATTCTGATTGTTTATTATTCTGTGCTCGTGTATACCTAAATTACGGAAAATTATTCGAAAATTACTGCGATCTTTAGGTCCGGTCGACAATTTTTATCTACCTTCTCCACAAAACGCATCTCTATCAAATGTAGATATTTTATGCACACTACTTTGTTGTCACACCAAAAAGGTCAAATATATTATGTTAAATAATTAAGTAATAGCTATAGCTATTTTATTGGGTTGCGTACAAATAATTTGGACTATAATAATCAATGTAGACTGTTTTGTTTAAAATGTCTGTAGGCTTAGGCAGACAACTTTCACGTTGAATGTTTTATGTATAGCTAAATGTTTAAAATGTAGTGACTTATATATTTATAATTCAATGCTTTTTGTTCTCCTTGACGCACAATAATATACGCTCAAATTTATTGATATAATGCCTTCTTGGGAAGAACCAGCGAAGATTCTCGTTTTTGGATTGCTTCAACCACAAGGGTATTTACTCAACCTGATCACGAAGCGCTGCTCTGTTAATAATACTCCAAGAATTAGCATTCGTAAATACAATTGATTTCGTTGGTTGTTCCTAGGTAGCGATTACTATATACTTTTAAGTGAACTAGGATATAAGATCATTTTATATCACACACAAGAAGAAGAGAATACAATATGCATAGTTAAGAATAAGTGTAATAAACAAAAGTCGTTACTATTTAAACATTTCGGTATCATATCAATGCGCCTAATGGAGGAGTTCCTACAGATGTTTTTTGTAAATAAATAATAATTATTAGGTATGTAAATATTGAGTTGTGTGTTTTATAATTTGCATTTGAGAAAATTGAAGAATGTAATATATTTTATTTAAATACCTCATATTTATGTAATGTGATACAAATATCTGACTAAAATTATTTTTGGTGCATGAAATGTTTATTTTAAAATGTGTATATTTATTCAAACAAAAAATAAATTTGGTTCGAAAACAATCTTGTTTTATTGGTGCATAAAGGCTGCTGAAGGGGTTTCGGGCTGGTACGATGGCTCAATTATCAAGATTTCAACATATTTTACATTGAGCGTTGACACAGAGTTCTGCCTCTTTTCTTGAATTGCTGCTTTATAGATTCTTGTTTTTGTGTCTTGTCTCATGTGTTTGTTCTTCCAGATTGTGTTATTATGAGATCCCGCCGCTTTACTTGCTTTTAAGCTTTGTGTCGTACTTCTTCTTCAAACATATCCGCAACTAATTATGTATATTCCCAGATTATCTAACCCTTGCTTCCTGCTTTATTATTTTTCCCATCAATTTCGATTTTACATCGTAGTGGGTATTTAGATTTGGTTTTTTTTGCTGATATTATCATATTATATTTCTTGGCTGTCGTATTGAACTTACTTACTTACTTTGGTCAGTAGACCCAATTGTACCTTTCTGTGTTGGGCCGTTTATAATACAATTCTTTATATTACAATATTTCACAATCTTCTGAGGTGTCCTAAAGAGCGTTCTACGTTCAGAAAATAACATTGCGGAGATAGGGCCATGTATTTCTTATGGACGATAGAACCGCGACGATGCACGTCAAACATAAGCATGATTCAGGGTTGTATAATTGGTATTTTCGTTTCCACAGACATGAATTAAAATTAATGTTTTTTAATGTAATTGACCAAAAGTGCCCATTCGAAACAAGAGATGAAAAGTAGGGAAAATGATTTTAATGAAATAAATAGTATTTACAAAAGATAATTTTATCTTAGTAATAATTAGTTTCCTCTGTACCCATATCTATGTCTACTCTTAGTATAGTTCGTTCGTTGTAATATATCCAATTTTTTAATTTGTTGATACTGTCCTTCTTTATCATGCACGCTACTCCTGCCTGAGGTCTCTTGGTTTCTTCCACTCCACTGTATATTAGTAACATTCTGTTTTCAATATTATCGATCCTTTTCCTTTTTTCTTGTCTCGGTTATAGCTACTATTTCAAATGTTCTTACCTCTAATTTCTGCCACCCGATTCTATTTCCTTCCCATTTATAACTCTTACATTCCATGATGCCATTTTTAAAGTTGTTTTGTTGTTTTCTGTGTTTAAGTTGTACTTCAATTTGTTTTTCCTTATGTTTGTGTTATTATCTTTAAGTCTGCTCATGTCCCTGTTCTGTGCCTGTTTTGTTTCTCGGTCCGTCATTGTGTTTTCTTCAGCTAGTTTTTTGAACAAGTTGGTTCAGTATTGTATGTTACTTTTTCTATCCGGCTTGTTTTTTTGATTCCATTTTTACTTAATATCTTCAATAACTATGAAACCATATCCAATTTTTGTCCTTTTCCCATTTAGTCTTTTCATCTGCTGCTATCTTCCTAAGGTTTCTTTGTATTTCTAACTCTTAATGTTAGATCACATTCTATATATACTCTATGTTGCTTATAGTTCATTAGTTAACCCTAGTCTTTCAGTATTTTGATGTTGTATTGAAGATGTGTGTTAATCTTTGGAACTCGTTTTCTGTTTCGGCGATTAATGCGGCGTAATATTTGGATTTCTTTGTTCCCCATTCTGTATCCATAATTTTTACGTACTGCTTGTATTATTTCGTCCATTATTATATTAAAAAGAAGTGGGCTTAACGAGTCACCCTGGCTTACACTGATATACACTGTATTAGTTTCCCATTTATGTTTGCCTGTATTCGACTATGGAAGTAGATGTTTTCGATGGTTTGTATAATATTGATTGCTATGATTCTTTTATACAGTAGGTGTAAATCGTTTCGACTTGAATGCGACCGAAAGCTTTGTCAGGTCTATGAAACATAGATATGCTGGTTTATTGTACTCGATGGCCTTTTTTATGGTTTTCTTAGTACAAATACGACGTCTACGCAGGATCTTTTGGACCTGAATCCTTGTTAATTACTATTTATAACTGGGAATAAGCCACAATTAAAGATAAAATACGTTTATTGACGTTTCAATTTCCAATCGAGAACGATTTCCGAATTTTTCAAATTTGACTGTCAAATTTGACTTTGTTTTATTAGTCAAAATATTTATTGTAAAGAGTAACGTGTTACTTTTTCATGGCAAAAAGAGTCTTTTATCTATTTGGTTAAGGATTGCAGAGACAATTTTTGCTAGTGGTGCCATCACAGACTGGTCTCCCCTACATCAGCTTGTTAAAGACCAGTCTGAATCATATTTGAAAATGAAAATTTTAAAGTAAATACTGTCTTTAAAATTTGAGGCAATATTTCTTTACAAGTTGAAGCAATTAATCGTACAAATTTGAGTCACTTTTGCCTTAATAAAAAAGTGCAATTGGCAGATTAATTTACAAGTTCAAATCGAATGATGTATTAAAAAATAAGTTTTTATTAAAAAAAGGAATGATAATGGTGTTCTTTAGACATTTTTCATGTGTGTATATATGATTTACAAATAATAACCATTTATTATTTGTAAATGAGAATAAATGTAGATATCGTGTAGCTGTGGACCTTCAATAATTATACACGACAGATAGAAAGAAGAAGCATTTGAGTAATTGTGGATGACGTTTACAAACGAGGTTAAGTTGTTTGTTAAGGATAAAGCTTGAGATAATTCAATATTTTGTAATATTGCATTATATATTTTATTTATCATCATGGGTGATACTGCTATAATAAATTATTTAAAAGTAATTTTAGGAAACGATGTATCAAACGACATCGTCAGGTATGTTTTATAAATTACGAATTTTTTAAATCATATCAATAATTAATTCACAAAAATAATTTTAAGTTACATCAAAAGTATTAAGAGTGAAGACGATTATGCAGAGTTTATGGAAAATATAATAGATAGATCAAATTTAGGACATAAAAATTCTTATGATGGAATCAGAAATATTATATTTCGGAAAAATGCCGAAAAGGAAAAAATAGAGACAACAAATACAAACAAAAAGAGTAAAAAGAAATTTAAGGACATAAATGTGTATCAAGAAAAAAAGAAAGAAAAGCAAGGTTAGTACAATAAAAATGTTTCTTTAGAGGACAATTTTAATTTTGTAGGAAGTTAAAGTTGGAAGATTTGTGTTCTTGTTTGCTTTAGATACAGCCTGCTCTTAATATTCCTTAATTATGTACTTTTATCAATCTTGTCTCATTTATTTTCTTCAAACTTTCAATTTATTTTGCTGTGGGCAACCTAAAGAATCCAATTTAAAAAATAGACATTTAAACCTTTGATCTAATTTAATTTATTTTGTTAATAAACTGCATGCCAGTAATTTTTTAAGTTACAATTAGTATTGTCTATCAGCTTACATTCTTTAGCCTAGTTCACACTATGCTAGTATTTTAGTCAAGTAGCAACTAATTTAGTAACTAAAATAAACACTACTGCCCAAAAATCGTTCACACTTATTCTAGTACAGTTCACAAGTGAGTTGTGTTTAGCAAGATTAACAGCCTACAACGCAATCAAGTAAATAAACTAATTAAGCTACTCGTAACAGCTATTTTAGAAGAGGTAAGTAATAAAATGTATTTAATTAATAAAAGAAGCTATGGATACAAAAATGGATCTAAACAGAAGATTAACTAGTGGATGCCAAATATCCCAAATAATTCTTCAATAATTTTAGTAGGTATGTCATAAAGTTGTGTAAATTTTCTGTTAATGAAAATAAACTCCCAAATATGACGGAAAGATAACCTTAAATGCTATTCCTTCAATAACCAAATCACAAGTAGTGAGCACTGAGGCGTGGTAGGAGGTGCTACTCGCACTAAAAATATAGAATAAAATGTATCAACTCAACTAAATTACTAATCTACTTGACTAAAGTTTTGTTGTTCAGACGCATTTAGTTACTAAATTATTTGCTATTAGACGAAAATATTAGCACAGTGCGAACTAGGCATTAGTTGCAAAGTAACTTTCAGCCACTTCTAGTGGGAGTCAAAATTTGACCAACAAAGTATCACAAAATCTTGTTACATAAAATTCTATTCTATATGTTTTAGGTCGTCAAGTCTGTGACTGTTTAGGACAAGAGCATGATTTTATGAATAATTGTATGGTATGTGGTAGGATTCATTGTATAGAGGAAGGGCCAGGACCATGCTTGTTTTGTGAAAATCCGGTAAGACCTGCTTATTTATTTGACAATATTCTATTATTTTTTTTGTAAAAAGGTCTCCTCTTTTTACATCTACAGGTTTTTAGCTATTGTTACTTTTTAAATAGTATAGTAATAAAATCCACAAGGAAAATTCCTGTAGCTGGCTGTATACCACGTATAACAAAAAGAGGTTAATCTTTGTAAATGGGTATATTTATTTAAAAAACCCTTAAAAGGGCCACATCAATAAAACAAACGTTTTCGGACCACACAGTCCATCATCAGGTTATTAAAATCGAAAATGCCTAAAAATAAGTATAAACCATTTAGTTAAAACAAACGAGATTTTGAAATTTTGACTATGGTTGAAAAGCAAAAGATGGTTATACTTACTAGGTCATAATGCCTGAGCCACCAAAATATTAGGGTAAAAACCCTTTAAATTACATTTAGTTATGAAATGTTGTACATTGTGTTATAAAATAACTGTGATGTTCAATATTAAATTAAATTTGACTAAAGGTAACACATGGCTCAATTGGTTTCCAGAGCCGGGTGAGAGGGTACCTCTGCACTCGGAGAACAACGTGGAACTGATTGACAAGATACTTTTGAAGGATGAAGATAACAGAATGTCAATGCAACAAAAACTATAAAAGTTGTACATAGTATTACTACAGCCAAAAGATTCAACAAGTTTTGATGATTTTAAAAATAACAACAATCTAGGTGTTGGGATTTAAAAACTTTTTATTTATTAATTTAGGGTATAAAAGATGTCAAATCAATGATGGTTTTATAGTCATGATTAATATAATGACCTGTGCCTTAGGCAACTTATGTTGCTTTTCGTCGTATGGAATGTGGTCTAAAGTGTATTTAATTTTGGGTTAGCTTGTATTTATGAAATTTATCCTTTTATGTTTAACACATCTAGGACAAGGTAAAAATTAAATAACAAATATTTGAAGCTAATATCAGACCTCATATTTAAATGACTTTATTTAAGAATGCTCCTATGGTGAAAAATTAATAAAATTAAGTTTAGTAAGATGGAAATCTACAGGCTGAAGAAGTTGAAGTAATAACATATGTGATTGAATTTAAAGTAGTAATGTATAGTATACTACTTATATGTCTATCAAATTAAGATTAGGATACACTGTGGCTACTGTAAAGGACCATCACTATCTCCAAAATAGATCAGGATTTATTATATACTTCTCTGGTCTCCACATAGTGTCTCAGGCAAATATGTAGAATAACTACCATTAATAACCTTCAATGGGAACTTTCAATACTAATGAGTATTATGAGTATAGTATGTATATAAAGACATTAAAATTACCAGAAGAATCTACCATATTAACTGGAGAACTCTGAACTGTATATAAAACCTTCACATATAAATAAAATGAAATTCATAAGGTAAATGTAGGGAATATGGCACACAATTCGGGTTTTTGCCATATCTCAAATGGTAATACTGATAATAACATAATGATTAGAGTTTATGGTATCAAGGACTATCAGGTACTCACACCAAAATTACAGCTAAATCTTACAATAAGAACTACTATAATTTAAAACATAAAAAAGTTACATTTTGCATCCTTTCCCTGACAGGGGGGAGTATGACGCACTAAGTGTTGGAGATATCGCTTATGACAAATTATATGTAAATCAGAAATAAAATTCATAGCAATTAACTTTGCAACTTTTAATAAAATTGGGTAATATAAAATTTCTTCCTACACAGCTTACATGGTGTTTGGGAATGTAACAACAAAATTGATGTGTCCATGATAACATTAATTTTTGGCATGATTTTCTTAATTTCTTCCATTTTGACAATGCCGATGTGTTGGGCTAATGGAAAGACAAACTAAATCTTCCATTTCTTCATGAAGTTAACTTCCACGCCATCATTATTGATATTAATGACTACACCCAGATAACATAATGGTTTGTTCTTTGCTGGAAACTCAACCCATAGTCTATGTTAACACTTTTTACACATTAGAGAAAATCTTTCTCATCTACTATTTCATCATCGGAGTATTTTTCGTCCCACTCGCCCGCAGATGATAAAGACAATTTTTCTTCTAGTAAAATCTTCTATTTCGGTGGCTTTCGAAGCTTGAATGTCTTTTCCTGCTTTGCAATTTTGATTGCTCGTTTGGCCTTCTTAGCTTCTATATTTTCAGGCGTCGTCAAAAGTTGAACATGCTGTTTGTTTTTTGCTACGGCAAGAGCATCACATTTTGGCACTGGGTGATACAATTTGTAGGAGTTTTCCACCCATCAACACTTCAGATCCGTTAGGCATATTATCGAGCCACACATGGTGTTTGTATACATTCCTCTGCATTGCAACAGGCAACAACCGTAGGGTTTCTTTCAGTATCCCATATCATTTAGCTGCACCGCTAACTTGAGGGGCCAGCTGCAATATCATTGAAAGCGATACAAAGGTTATCTTCAGTCCAGCAGCCCCGCATGTTCTTACACTTGTAGCTAAGCTTATCTACAAAAGGAAAATCAGTCCTACATTAAAAATTAGAAAGAATGTTTTATTTATGTGTCATAAATCATAACCCCGCGTCATATCCCCCGCAAAAACAACACGCCATATCCCCGATTCGACGCCATTTTAAAAAAAATGTAAATAGTGAACAGTAAGGGTTATGTGTTTAAGTAAGTCATATTATTAGTGTGCAATAACATAGAATACAACAAACCATCAAAAAATTCTTCTTTTTCTTCTTAGCCTTCTGTCGTCCATGTTTGGACATAGGCCTCTCCCAACTTCTTCCATCGGTCTCTATCCTGAGCAACATATTTCCAATTTGTTCTTTTAATGTCATCAACCCATCTCATCTGTGGTCTTCCTCTTGGTCGTTTACTTTCGTAAGGTCTCCAATGTTGTATTGTAGTATTCCAACGTTGGTCTTTCTGTCTAGCAGTGTGGCCCGCGAAGCTCCATTTAAGTTTGGCAATTTTTGTTGTTATGTCCTCGACTTTTGTTTTGGATCTTACCCAGTCGTTCCTCTTTTTATCTGACAGTCGTATACCTAACATTGCTCTTTCCATTGTTGTTTCTGTTGTGGCTAGTTTATTCATGTTTGCCTTGGTTAGGGGCCAGGTTTGACATCCATATGTCATGATAGGAAGGATGCATTGGTTGAACACTTTGCTCCACAAGTATTGGGGTATTTTGCGGTTCTTAAGTATCCAACTAAGTTTTCCAAATCCTGCCCATGCTAGTCTTGCTCTTCTAGTAATTTCCGCACTTTGGTTCTCTTTGTCAAGTCTCAGGAACAAAAAATTAGAAAATACAAAACTTTGAAATTAGTAAGATGAAATTTTTATGGTGTTTACCTGCAAAAGTGTACACAACATCAAAGCTCCCTCCACAAAGGGTCGCTATACACTAACTTGGACCTGCTTCACCTGGTGACAATTGTGGCTACTATCGCTTCCAAAGTTATATATCCTCCACGTTTACCCTAGTCACAGACACATTAAATAATCTTCGATAATTGTTAAAATAACTTTAACATGTGTTTTTCCTTGGTGGGAAGACATTGAAATTATACTGGCGGTACCTGACGAGTTATTTTTCGACGTTTTAAACTGTGTATTGACTTTCAATAACAGCTTAAATACTGATTTGCACTACTAACAACAATAGCAAGAAATCACAGGAAAAACAATAATCAATTCAATCATACCTTTAAGGCTGCTGCATTAATAATTAAATTCCACATAAAAAGCTTTGTATGACTCAACTGAAATATTTGAATCTGCATATACTTTTTTTTACCTGTATATTGAACTAAGATTTATTTATGTTGTAGGTAACTGTAAGGGGTGAGGAAGTCTTGAATGGGAGAAAACAAAAATCAATTATGAAGTAAGTTTTGGTTTTAAATTCTATCCAAAGTTTACATGTTTTATTTTTATTACAGACCAAAAGAAAACAAAGTATTTGATGATGATAATGACTACTTCAAAGTAAATTCCAAAAAGAAGGATGGAAAAGATGACAAAAGAAAAATGATTGTTGCATTAGATTTTGCTTCTAGAAAAGTTATCGAAGGTACCAAAGAAGATGAAAAAATAAGGAAAAGGTTACTCAAAGAATCTATAGAGCATTTAAAGAAGGTTGAGCAAATGTACAAAGACATCCAAAAGAATTCTGAAACATCATATCAAAGAAATATAGTAGAGGTAAGAATCAAGTTATGAAAAACAGTAAATTTTTTTCTTCTGCTAAAAAAACAATTTTTCTTCCAAAATTTGTTCCAAATATATCGGAATGAAAACCTTCGTTTTCTCGTTTGTCGTTTGTCTCCTTCTGACCAAAATCGGGATCATACAATTCTCGAACCACGTCAAATGTGGGAAGTAAATAGCTTACAGTGTATCTCCAATTTAGCTATCGTCAATCTTATCTAGGATATGGAGAACAAACATTTTGACTCACAACTTTTTCTTTTTAAACTATTAAATTATCTTTGGTAAAAATTAACTGCTTCTCAACTTTGGCAACCAAGCTCTTTAAATATTGATTCTCTCGTTCCCTTATTTTTGTCTATACACTTACTTACTTACTTACTCTGTGGCGTTACAACCCTTCGTGGGTTTTTGCCGACTCGACAACATGCCTCCACTGTTTTCTGTCTTGAGCAACCTCCATCCAATTCTCCACGCTCTCCATAGTGCTTAGGTCTTCTGCTATATTATCTCTCCACCGGAGACGAGGGCGTCCGCATGGTCTCCTTCCAGTTAGAGAAGTTCTCCTGAAACATCAAGACGAAGCAGAACTAATCTGACTTGACAATGGCAAGTGTGACCTTGCCGAAACGTCGTCAAAACAATGGTTTTTCTAAAAACCAAAATTACTTAACGCGGAGTCAAACCCGGAAAACAACTGAAATCACATATAGCTCCCGCGGAAATTTCAAATCCAATATATATATATATATATATATATATATATATATATATATATATATATATATATATATATATATTTGTCTTGCAAGCTTTACATATCCTGTAAGACCTCCTAGCTTCCAACAAATAAATCCTAACAAGATATTATTTTATGTTTAGAATGCAAATGAAGATTTAGTTAATCTATTGATCCAGATGAGACACAAAAAACCACTAGGTAAAGAAAATCTGGGGGAGGAGGACTCTTCTATGCCGATTATTGACTATGGAACTAGAATATTTGATGAAGATACTATTGTAAATACTGATCATGGTTTATGCCTTAGTATGCATCAACCGTGGGCTAGTTTATTAGTTGCAGGAGTAAAAAAGTAAGAAAAGTATTATTTACTATAATTAATTGTAATAATCACTACCCTAATTATTTTTATTTATTCAAAGCAAATAAAAAATAAAAAAGGGCGAGCTGATTCCAAAAAAGTATAATACTAGGGTAACGGATATAATTTGAAAGATATGCGTTAAAAAAATTAATTTTTATTGATTTATAATATTAATAAATAATAAATAAATTATAATAAATAACTTAAAAGTAATCCAGTAATTAATACATGACTTTATCTTAAATATTCGAATTGTAGCCATTGTTGTATTTGACAGTAACCCAAATATTGTTTATTTCTTTTCAAATTCTTGTTTTTAAGTCTCCAATATTTGCAGGTTTCGTTTTATAACCAACATTCTTTCAATGGCCCCACAAAATATTCCAAAGGATTGAGATCTGGCAACCTCGCTGGTCATTCAATATGTCCACGTCTTTCAATCCACCTGTTAGGAAAAATTTCGTTTAGGTACCTTCGAACATCTAAATCATAATGTGGAGGCGTACCATCATGTTGAAACCATAAACTTTTATCAAAACCTCCAAGATTAATTGTACTGGGGAATAAATTTTCTAAAGTAGGTACGCGATACCCCCTTAAAACTAAAGGCATACTGGCCCGTTTAAATTACCTTCGAAAAAGTAGGGTCCGATGATTCTATTTCTTACAATTCCAGCCCATACGTTTACCTTTTGCGGGTATTGTGTATGATTTTCCCGCATCCAGTTGGAGTTTTATTTTGCCCAGTATCTACAATTATGGCAGTTGATCTCGCCATTTAATGTGATTGTAACCTCACATCTTGATCAGAAGAAATAATGTTTTGAACCAAGAGAGGTTTTCGGTGGCAGTGTTCATCATTATTTCGCAAAATTGTATTCTTTTATCTGGATTATCCCCGTTTAATTCCTGTACAAGTGTGCATCTAAAGGGGTGCCATTTTTTAAGTTTTATTACTTTGTGTACCATGGTTTTGCAAACATCGAGATCACGACTAACCTTACAAACAGAAGTATGCGCATCTTCTTCAAAAGCAAGTAGCATATCTCTAATGTTGTATCATAATGAGGGACGACCTGATTTGCATATATTTTCAACTGTACTAGTTTTTCGAAATTTCTTTTCAATCTTACTTTCTCTTGACTGCGTTATGGGTATTTTTGGATATTTATCATTAAATAAATTACACACTTCCATCTGAGTTCGCTGTTTGTCTCCATACCCAATCATCATGAGTATTTTAATTCTTTGCTTTACACTCAAATTCATTTCTACTTCAAATTAATTCTAAGCAATAATACAGAATATTCACGAGTTACTACAATCATTGTACTACCTAATTGTTATTGAACTTACTAAAAATAATTACATTGTACTAAAAACTAGAAGTAGGCTACTTTTTTGCAATTGATAATAAATAATTTATTTTCTAAGCGCATATCTTTTAGATTATATCCATTTGACTCGAGTATTATACTTTTTTGAAATCAGCTTATTTTTATCGATCTAATGTCATAAAATATAGGGTGTTACATTAAAAAAAAAAAAAAAACACCACGAACCACCATGGATGACAGAAAACGTAAAAGAAATGATACAAGAAAAGAACAAATTATATAAAAAATGGCTAACAAATAAAACATCTAGCAATAGAGTATCATATCAAATGAAAAACGGAGAAGTACGCCAGCAAATAAAAGAAGCAAAAAACAATTTCTGGGAACAAAAATGTGTCCAAGTTGAAAATTTAATGGGTGGTTCTCAGACAACGGAAGCATGGAGAACTATCACTAATCTAAAGAAGCATAACTCATTAAGCAACTTAATTTCTATAGAAAAATGGGAAAATCACTATAAAAATTTACTCCAAGAGTCCAGATTAGAATATATGGGAGAAGAATACAGTATGGAGAGACAAACAAATAGTAACATTAATACTACCAGCAACGAGGTCCGTACTGCGCTAATTAAAATGAAAAACGGGCGATCTTCAGGACCTGGCAATATAGCTGTAGAGTTACTTAAAGCAGGAGGTCCACTCCTAATCGAACGAATAACTTTTCTAATGAATCAATGCTGCCAACAAATTAAAATACCATCTGAATGGAAAACCGCTCACCAAGTGTCCATCTTTAAAAAGGGTAATCGAAAAGATCCTAACTGCTACAGAGGATTGAGTGTCCTACCTACTTTCGGCAGATTGTTTGGAAAGATAATAAGTAGAAAAATACAAGATGATGTAGGACATCTAATTAGCGAAGACCAAAGCGGATTTACGCCTGGTAGATCTTGCACTGATAACTTGTTTATACTCCAACAATTAATAGAAAAAAGAATAGCGGTTGGTAACGAAGTACATCTAGCCTTCATCGATCTAGAAAAAGCGTATGATACAGTACCAAGGCCTAAATTGTGGCAAGCTTTACAACAACTCGGCATTAGTCCACACCTTTTAGGAATAATCACAGAAGTATACAGGGATAACACCACTTACCTAAAAATCGGAAATAGACTATCAGAGCCGATAAAAGTAACTAAAGGACTGAGACAAGGATGCAGTATGTCACCTTTACTGTTTAATTTATATATTGAGGCAGCCCTTCAAAATTGGAAAAACCACTGCCAGGGAATGGGAATCCCAATAGGAAATGACGTACTGTTCTCCCTGAACTTTGCGGATGACCAAGTCGTTCTAGCTCAAGATTCTTATGATCTAGAATTTATGATAAAGCGTCTATACAGAGAATATGTAAAATGGGGGTTAAAAGTCAGCATGAAGAAAACGGAATATCTAGTTATCAATTCAGATGCAAGGTTTGAAGTGTTGATAGACGAGGACGTGGAAATCACACAAGTGGAAAAATTTAAATATTTAGGTGCATTCATTGATAAGAACGGCTTGGGTGAAACCGAAATTAAACACCGAATTAATCAGGGACGTAAAATTGTAGGATGTTTGAACTCCTTATGGTGGGATCGCAACATTTCCAAAAGGAACAAAAAAAGAATAGGGCAAACGATGGTTGAATCAGTTCTTTGTTATGGCTCTGAAGTATGGACAATTAATGCAGACCTGAAAAGAAGATTGTTGGCAGTTGAAATGGATTATTTGAGAAGAAGTGCTAGAACATCAAGGCTGGAAAGGAAAACCAACGAATCTATAAGAAATCAGATGAATGCTACAGATACGGTCATAGACAGAATAGAAAGAAGAGGTTTAAAATGGTTTGGACACCTGTTAAGAATGCCTGACGAACGTTGGCCCCAAAAACTTCACAGATGGAAGCCCCCTGGTAGAAGAAAAAGAGGTAGACCTCGACGCTCATGGAATGAAGGTATTAGAAGAGCAATGGAATCGAGAGGTTTGGAGGAGGAGCATGCCTTGGACCGAGAGGATTGGCGGAGGAGGACGGGAATACGGCGATAGCCGTTTCCAAGATGTATTCTATTTACAAATTGGATCCTGTAATATATATAGGTACATTAAAAAAAAGAGCCGATGACGTCATCACCTTAATGTCTATCACTTTTATAATGAAACTTTGTGAATATAGAACATAAAAAATATATAAAAACTGAAAAATCGACGTGTTTAAATTTTTTTAAAAAGGCTTTTCATTTAGAAAATATCGAATTTATTCCATACTTTACGGACACACTGTATATCATTAGTAAAGGATCAGTTAAAGAATTTAGCAAACTCTGGCTTCAATAAAAAAATTATATGGGTTAAGGCAAATATTAATCCCTACTTGCTAAAAGCGAACGATAATGAACCACCAACACCAGAGGTAACGGCAAACGAAGAAGTAAATTTTGAGGAGGAAGAGATAAAGGAAGCATTAAGGAAATTAAAAAAACAGAAAATCAACAGGAGAGGACAGAATACCGAACGAATTCCTAAAGTACGAAGGGACAGATCTTGCCAAACGACTACTAAAATTATTCCAAAAAATAATAGAACAAAACAGAATTCCTCAAAAATGGAGACTAAGCATCCTAATACCTCTCTTTTAAAAGGGAGACAAATCCGCATCCGAAAAATTACAGAGGAATTAATTTATTAAACATAACACTAAAATTAACAACCGCCGATAACAAATAAACTGAATGAAATTATAACACTAGCAGAAGAACAAGATTTTAGGTCGGGAAGATCTTGCACCGCCGGCGCCGCTACATTTGTAATGAGGCAAGTGCAAAAAAATCTTAGAATACAACAAAAAAAAATAACTAGAAGAAGAACTAACTGACCATATTGAGCTGGCAATGGGATAAGACAGGGAGATTCCCTGTTTCCTCTATTGTTTAATCTAATTATGGATGAAATAATAAAGATGTATGGTTATAACAGCAAATTTACTAAGATGTAAATTGGAAGTTTAACATCTAGGCATTATATTATCTAGGTACGGAAAGATCGAAACAGACGTGGAAGATCAAGTGAATAGAGCAAACAGTCGCAGGTTGCCTGAATGAAATAATATGGAGAAATAAAAATATCGGGAAAGAAATGAAAGGCAGAAATGAAACGACATATGCGGCAGAAAAACCACCTGACACAGAGAGAACAAAAAGGATGTTGGAAATAACAGAGATGAAAACACTTAAACAGTGATAGTACAACACTATGAGACAGAGCTAGAAGTTCAGATATACGACGTAGATGTAAGGTGGAGAATGTCAAGGGATTGGGCAAGAAATAGAAGAGTAGAATGGAACGATCATATAAGCCGAATTATACTAAATAGAATAGTAAAGACGGCAAGAGACGGCTCCCTAATAAGAATTCGATCAGTAGGAAGACCACGAAAATTTTGGAACGACAACTTGCTGGAGGTACATTGAAAAACAGACAGAGTGATGTCTACATAAAAACAAGAAGAAGAAGATAGGATTATGTATTTGTCTGATTGGAGAATCTATTGCAACTGACTGAATGACTCCTCCTCCTAAGTGCCTTCTCTATTGAGGTTGGCGATCAATATGGCAAATTTATCTCTGTTCTGGGCTTGATGGATTAAGTCATTTCCTGTTGTGTGAGTCCAATCTCTGATGTTTCGGAGCCAGGATTTCTTCTTTCTTCCTATACCCCTTTTACCCTCGATTTTGCCTTCTAATATTACCTGGAGCTGCTCAAATTCCTTATGGCGCATTATGTGTCCTAGATATGACGTCTTTCTAATTTTGATTGTATTAACCAGATGAGGTCGTGTGTTCATTATTTCCAGTACCTCTTCATTTGTAGTTTTGCTGGTCCAGCTTATTCTTAGCATTCGGCGGTACATCCACATTTCGAATGAATTCAGTTTGTTGACGTCATACTGTTTTAATGTCCAGGTCTCACAGCCATATAGTAGTAGAGACCACACATAACACTTTAGTGTTCTTAACCTTATTGTGATTGATAGCTTGGGGTTACAGAGCATTTTACGCATGTTCATGAAGCCAGATCTTGCTATTTCAATACGTCTTCTAATTTCTTTTGAGTGGTCTAGCTGACTGTTTAGCTCTCTGCCCAGGTATATGAAGCTTTGGGAGCTCTGAAGGGTGATACCATTGATTTGTATGTTGGGTGTAATTTGTTCATGGGGGTTCTTGTGGAATACCATGATTTTGGTTTTGGAAAGATTAATATCCAAACCTAGTCTGTGACTTTCTTCTGATAGTATGTTCATCAATATTTTTAATTGGTCTTCTGTTTCTGCTAATACTACGGTGTCATCGGCATATCTTACATTGTTAATGATGATTCCATTGACTCTGGCACCTTCAGGGCGATCTTCAAGAGAAGCTCTGATGATATCTTCGGCATAGACATTAAATAGAAGAGGGGACAGAATGCACCCTTGACGAACTCCTCGTTCTATGTTTACATAATTGGTATATCCGTTGTCTGTTCGAACACATCCTGTGTGCTTCCAGTATGTATTGCTTATTATAGCTATGTCGTGTCCGTCCAGCCCTACTTCTTTTAGCACCTCAATCAATTTTTCGTGTCTAATGCGGTCGAAGGCCTTTCTATAATCGACAAAGCACACATACAGCTGTTTTTGAACCTCGAGATACCTTTCTGCCATTAGTGTCAATCCATTATTGCTTCTCTGGTGCTGTACCTTTCCTAAAACCATATTGAGAACGACTCAGGTATTCTTCACACTTATTGTGAATGCGGTTATAAATTACTCGCATAAAAATCTTAGCAGCATGACTCATTAGGGATACAGTTCGATGGTCTTCACATTTCCTTGCTTTTTGTTTTTTAGGAAGAGCTACATATGTGGATGTTAGCCAGTCATGCGGTAGAGTGCCATGTTCATATATAATGTTAAAGAGGTAGGTTAATTTCCCGACAGCATCATCACTCAGGTGTTTAAAATATTCGGCTGTTGTTAGATCTTCGCCGGGTGCCTTGTTGTTCTTTGCGTCTTTTATTGCCCGCATAACTTCTTCGGTTAGAATACGTAGTTTTCCATCGGTATCTATTTGTGGGGACCCTTCTGCTCTCCGATCACCAAACAAATCTTTAAGATATTGTTCCCATATTTCCTTCTGTTTTTCAGGGTCTAATTCCATTTGGTTTTTCGTGTTTGTTACAATAGATAAATGTTTGGGTTTCCATATCCAGCGACTTCTTTCACCTTTCTGTGTAATTCTCTATCTTTACGCTTCCTTTGCAGATCTTCTACCTCTTTACATTTTTGTTTCATCCACTCTTCCTTAGCTACATTTATCTTTCTCTCAATTTCCCTGTTAAGCTCTTTGTTTCTTGTTAGGTTTTTGTTTTTTACCATCCGTCTCCTCTCCATAATTTGTAATATTTCGTTTGTCATCCATGGTTTTCTTTGTTTACGGTTTTCTTTCTGTATATTTTGGTTTGCTGCCTCCAGGACAGTATTTTTAATTTTTCCCCACATGTCTTCAATGTTTTCTTTTATTGTCTTCTCTTTAGTGGGAGCTAATGTCTTAGACTCTAACTGCGTGTCTACCATGTCTTTATACATATGTTTTTGTCCCTGGTCAGCACTACTCCATGCTACTCTCTGACTGGGTTTAGCCTTGCCTACTCTTTTAAGTTTTATTCTGACAGTTGCAACTACAGGATTGTGGTCTGAATTTATGTCACAGCTTGGGTACGTTTTTACATTTAGAATACCATTACGGAACCTTTTATTAATTGTAATGTAGTCGATTTGGTTCCTCACAATATTTCCTTCGCAATCTTGAGGAGACCTCCACGTATACAGACGTCTTTTTGGTAATTTAAACCATGTGTTAAGAACCACCAAGTTGTTCTCTTGGCAAAATTCAACAAAGCGTGTGCCTCGTTCATTCCTCGTTCCTAAACCGTATGGGCCGATGATCGATTCGACCTTTTCTGCTCCTACCTTCGCATTCCAATCTCCCATAAATATGTTGATGTCATCTGATTTTATGTGTTTTTTAATCTTTTCAATATCGGAGTAGAAAATCTCAAGATCTGCATCCGTGCTGTCTGCTGTCGGGGCGTATACCTGTATTATATTAATGTCGAATTGTTGTCCATTTAATTTGATGATCATTACTCTGTCGCTGACTGGTAGAAAACCTTCGTGTGTTGTTTCATGGATGCTGTTACCAGCACTCCTATACCTGATTGGGCATCATCATCTTTGCCTGCATAATAGAATCGGTTTCCATTTATTGTATCCACATATCCTTCTCCTTTCCATCTCACCTCACACATACCAAGTATGTCCCACTTCATTCGTCTCATCTCGTTTTCAGCGTTTGCTAATTTGCCTGCTCTATACAATGTCTTAACATTCCACGTAGCAATTTTAAGTTTCCTTCCGGGGATTCTTAGCACCCCTTGACAATTGAACGCCTGCCGGGCACTAGGGGCCATGTATTGATTTTGACTTGCCATATTAACTATCTTGGGAATTTGATGCGATGGTTTCCCACTTGCCTTTCGCATCCTATGCCCTTGACGACGCGATATCGTTCATCCGCCTTCGGGACGATTTCTCCTCCCCAGGACAAGAGGGTGCCCTTCCGTTATTATTAAAAATAACGTTGAATGCTTATACCGGCAAACACTTGGTCCCCATCTGCGTCAGCCACCTAAGCTAACTACTTAAGTGTTGCCCATCTTCTACCACGTGGAGGTGCAGATTGGGAGTTTCCCTTCATTGAGCTCAAGACCGTAAAGGCATTTCTTGATACTCTCCAGTACTTTAAGAAGACTGAATGGACTAATGCAGACTAATGTCTATGCCATTAAAAAAAGACTTTATACGAAGTATATTACAAGTAGGAAAAGTTTTATTTATAATTTTTTAAGAACAAAAATTGACTGTTGTAATTGTTAACGCTTTTGATAGAGATTTATTTTTTATTGTGTAAACAAACGGTTTATATATTTATCCAAATATCTATATATTTATTCATTTTAGACACGAAGGACGAACATGGCCAACCACACATAGAGGAAGATTATGGATTGCAGCCGCAGCTAAAGTCCCAGAAGAAGAAGAAATTGAAGCTTTAGAATCGTTCTATAGGGACTACTATCAAGGTAATTTATTCAAATATGTTTTAATGCAACTTTTTGGTAAATATAATTTTATTTATTTTTAGATCCAACATTACAATTTCCAAAGGATTACCCAACAAGCTGTCTGCTTGGTTGTGTCTTCGTTGAGGATTGCTTAGATCAGGAGGCGTACCAAAAAAGATTTGGAAATGCGGATAAATCGGAAAGCAACAGTCCATATGTACTTATTTGTTCTAATCCAATGATTTTGCCTATCTTCTATCCTATCGTTGGTAAACATAAAATATGTAAGTCATTTAGTTATTTGGAATTAAGATTATTATTTGTACCAAGATATATTGCCATTATAATTAACTAAAGACAAAGTATTACCGCAGGGGGTTTCTAAATCCTTAATTTGATGTCGACTATATGTATACACAAAAATGACGTTGCAGGGTTCAAAAGCCGCAGTCAGAGTAGATGGAGAACTGACTCCCCTGTTTAACATCAACATGGGAGTAAGACAGGGAGATGCCCTATCAACCATGCTATTCAACCTAGTTCTTGAGGCAGTCATCAGAAAAACCAATATAACCGGCCATATAAACACCAAATCAGTACAAATTACTGCATATGCAGACGATGTAGCCATCATTAGTAGGAATAAGCCACGACTAATGGAAGTGTTCAAACAAATTGATCCTGAAGCAAGAAAAAGAGGTCTCAAAATAAACGAAGCAAAAACGAAGTATATGACAGTCAAAAGAATAACTGACAATGAAAATAATATCACAATAGACAACTATACTATCGAACGAGTGGATGCCTTTACATATCTCGGCACAGAAATCAATCAGAAGAACTCCGTAAGTAGCGAAATTAATGCACGTATTTCCAGCGGGAATCGTACATACTATGCTAATAAAAGATTGATGACATCGAAATTATTAGACAAAAGAACCAAAATGACTATCTACAGAACACTGATTAGACCCGTAGTAACCTATGGATGTGAAACTTGGGTAATGACGAAAAAAGATGAAGCCCAACTCAGGACATTCGAGAGAAAAATACGAGGAAAGTATATGGCCCGGTACAAGAGGAAGATGGCACATGGAGAATCAGGAGAAACGACGAGGTTAATGAGTTAAATGAAGGTTATGACATTGTAAGATTTGTGAAAAGTCAAAGACTGTCATGGCTGGGACATGTGCAGAGACAAAACGATGCAAAAACAACGGAAAGGCCCATAGGAAGGCGAAAAAAAGGAAGGCCCAGAACGAGATGGTTGTATGATGTGGAAGACGACCTGAAAACAATGAACATAAAACAATGGAGAAGAAGGGCACAAGAGAGATCTGAATGGAAGGACATAGCCAGACAGGCAAAGACTCATCTAGGGTTATGATGCCAAAAGAAGAAGAATATGTATACACACTGTAACTGGATGCTCGTTACTGCATATAATTCTGGAGCGGCTTCCATGTCGACATGGCCCTAACAAAGGCGTTCCTTTGTTTACTACGTAAGGTATTATTATTTGGGGTGTATTTGTAATGGATTGAGCTTGATGAATAAAACGTAAGAGATTCGAAGGTAGCATGGTAACACCACCTAAAGAGTTGAATGTGAGGCATTAAACCTGTAAGGGCCCGGGACTCCCGACATGGGAGCCCCAGCAGGTCGCTAAAGACCGACACCAAGGTCTGGTGATCAACAGATGCCGATTGCTTGAAAATCACCCTTATTTATATATTTGAGTTCCTACTCACGAAGTACTGGTCTCAATTCTCAAGACAATCGGCCAATAACAGATTGATAATATTTTAATAACGAACCGCAAATTAAAATTATTTCATTAATTCATTGACCATATACGGTGAGGAGCGATGCGCATAGTACGCTGATTGGCCAGGGCCCTAGCTAACGTACTGCGACAAAAGCGCCATAGACAAGACAGCAAATAGGTACGTAAGTCATACAAAAAAGGTATTGCATTCGGGGGAGTGCCATAAGAAAACTTCTTAGAGTGCGTTAAAATTATAGTATCATGAAAATTATGAGTAAAATGAAGAATAAAGTAAGTTCATTTAAGTGCACAAAGTTGCTAAATAAGTTTTCACTTTAATAGTATATGATGCACGCAAAGCGTATATACTATATAGCACTTCTTTTTGGATGGGGAAAAACTGAACTCGCGACAGATTTTTGCGACTGTCACCGCTCTCTAGACTTTCCTCTACCTCGTCTATCCACTGTATGTAACTATAAATTCATTAATAATCAAGATAATTTGTAGTACCCTTTTTATAGTCGCCTCTTGGCAATGTCGCCATGTTTATTCCTTCATTGTACTAGTTACTATCTCTTCTTTCAAACGAGACCTCATACGTCACGATCCGTCGAGCCGTTCTCTAGTTGTGCGTTTTTGCGACCAATTTGCATAGCAGTGACGGTTGCAAAAATCTGTAGCGTATTCAATGCTTTTTCCTCAAATCATTATTATTAATCTTGCCGTTTTATACTATATTCACTTATGATAACCCCACTTTTATTACAATCTTTCTAGGCATCCAGTGATGTCCTCCTCCTCCTCCTCAATATTTTCTTCTTCGTAAGGATGTAGTGGCGTCATGTAATTTGTTTAACTATTTTTGTCCAATTATCTCTCTTCTGTGCGTGTTGTTTTGCTTCGGAGAATGAGTAACCAGTCATGTCCTTTATTTGGTCCGATCATCGTACTGGAGATCTTCCTCTGGATCTTTTACGCTACGTTACCTTTAACTATCATTCGCTCCATGTCTTTTCTTCTTCTAGTTATATGTCCAAAATATCTCAGTATATTTTGGTTGATAGTTGTGATGAGTCTAGTTTTTATGTTAAGTTCTGCTAGAATTGAGTTATTTGTGCGATGGGCGGTCCATGGTATGCGCAAAATTCTACGCTAGACCCACATTTCAAATGCCATTATACGCTTTGAATCGGCTTTTTTTATTGTCTAAGTTTCTGAAGCATCGGTGGCGATAGGAAATATCAATGCTCGAACAAGGCGTAATTTTGTGTTTTTTGTGATGTCAGTGTTCTTCCAAATTTTTGTGAGTTTGACTGTTGCCGATCTGGCCATTGTGATGCATCGACGGATCTCCTCCACTGTTAGTAATAACGGATCCTAACTAATTAAATTGCCTGACCACTTTCATTGGCACTTCCGTATTCCAATCTCATTGCAAATTCTAAGCATTACTTCCGTCCCTAAATCTACCATTTCTTTGAGTGTTTCAGCTGTTATTCCATCTTCTCCTTCTGCTTTTCTGGATTTTAGCTGTTTAATTGCCGCCTCAATTTCTGATTTCAATATTTGAGGTTCTTTTTCATAATTTCCTTTCTCTGTATTATTGTCTGGGTCGTTGTTAGAGAATAGTATTTCGTAATATTGTTTCCACACCTCTGCGATACCGTCTGTGTTTGTTATGATACTTTCACTATTATCTTTGATGACCAGCATATATTAACGTTTTAGGTTGTATGGAACATACTCAATTTTAAAATTTTTCATTTCTTAGCTTAGGTTAGCTTTCATAGCTCATAGCTTCTCTGAAAAATGGAGTTGATATTGTGGATTGTTTTGACCAATACAGTTATTGGTCCGGCTTTTTTATGATGCTCTGTAGAATATCTAAACCAAGGAAAACACGTATTTCAGCATCTTTAGTTTCCCTCCAATGTAATCCTTTCGACGTAGCTGGAGCATTTCTAGTTATTTGTTCCGCATACCGATTTGTTTCGGTGGTAATGTAAGCAATAATACTATCGTCAACGAATTTATTGAAGAAGTGTAAGACGTTGTTTGGCTCAGGAATTTCAAAATTTATAGAAAATTGCCTATGAAACAGAAATCTAGGTGGTGACGGCGGTGGCGATAAAATATTTATTTCACACCATTCACGTGCTGCCGTTATATCAGTATCACTATCATCTGAATAATTAAATTCACCAAAAACACTTTCGGTATTACTTTCAGAACCTGAACGGCTTATATTATATTCTGATCCACTACTTCCTTACTGATAATGTTCGTATTCACTATCACCCTCCATGAATGCCGCACAGTATTCGTAAATAAAAGAAACAAACTGCGATACACCTTTTTCGATGATCAGACATGTACTAAATAGTTACCATTAGCTATCCGTACCACTGCGCTCAGCGTGGTGGGTGGTGGCTTGACACAGCAAGTTTCCCCACCATCGTGTGTAATACAGCGTCAAAATAATCTGCGGCAACAAAATAGATGAGTTAACACGTTTTAATATATTTTATGCCACTATTTAAAACGATTTTAAACGGTTTGCTACTGTACAGCTGTACAGTCAACATTTAGCGCGAGATATCTCGGGTTAATAATTTTTGTTAAAAAGTGTTTGGCCGAGCATACTCGGGATAAAGTGTTAAGCGCTTAAAGAATATTATGTTTGTATTAGGCAATCGTAACAGTTATTTATTTACGTTTATTAACTAATAAATTTATTTTTTAGATGCATTGGATAAGGATCTTCATAAATGTGCAAAGTTAGCTTTACAGCATGCCAATTCGGATATATAAGATGTATTTATGTTTGTTTTTATTAATAAATATTATTTCACAAGTTATGTATTAGTTTACTCTAATGATATAGTTAACAGTAATTTTTGATATTACTTATATACTGGATGGATCTAACTTTATCTCTCGGTGAACTTTACAGTAGGCAGGGTGAAAGTAAGATACAGAAAATTGTTAACTATGGAGCAAAGAAAGCAAAAAGCTGAGACGAAATTAATATTATACTAGTAAATGAAATAATCTCAGAAAACAATGAAAACATATTTTGGCCGTTTACTAAAGAACAATTTGACAAAAAAACAATTGAATAAACCCCACCTGGGTTCAAACTAACATAGACCAGGACAACTAATTATCATATGGGGACTTAGATAAAGAATTCTCTGAAGGTGAAGTGGAATATCAGTATCAAATCTAATATCAACTCAGCTCCTGGATCAGATGGTATATAGTACAAACTGAAGAGATATACTAGACTAGTGAAGTGCAGAGATGAAAGATCAATAACTGACTATTTACTAGTGGAAAAAATAAATAGAAAAATAATAATGAATACCAAAGTCCGAAGAGGATCAGAAATAGGTAGTAGCTATTTCGTATTAGTAACTAAAATTAAAGAAAAGGCAAAGGAAAATCGTCATGAGATAAGAAAAGAAAAAGTTAAAGTAGAAACAATAAAAACATACAAACTAACCAATAGAAATATAGCTTTTAAATAAGGATGGAGGACGGAAGGCACCGGGTGTTGATGAAATTCCTGCAGAACTGCTGAAGCTATTAGATGCAGAACAAATGAAAATAATAACTCATATATTTAATGAAATATACAACGCAGGAAAAACACCAGTAGAGTGGCTCAAATCGGAGTTCGTACCATTGCTCAAAAAACCAGGAGCAAAAGTTTGTGAAGACTATAGGACCAAAAGCCTAATGAGCCATCTGCTAAAGCTATTTTTAAAAGTCATCCACAAAAGAATTTACCGGAAATGCCAGGAACAAATTGCGCCCAATCAGTTTGGATTTGTGAACGCCGCCGTTGGTACGAGGGAAGCTTTATTTAGCGTACAGGTATTGTTTCAGAAATGTAGAGATGTCAGCTGTAATGTTTTGCATGCCTGCTTGACTACAAGAAGGCTTTTGATAGACTCAGGCATGAACAAATGATGGAAGTGCTGAAGAGGACAGGATTTTACGAAAGAGACGTGAAAATAATAGCTAACCTGTATTGGAATCAATCAGCGGTGCTCTGAATAGATGGAGAATATACAGATCAGGTCAAAATCTTACGGGAAGTGAGACAGGAGTGCATAATTTCACCACTGATATTCAATCTGTACTTGGAGCACATTTTTGAAGAGGCTCTATAAGATATTGACGAAGGTATTTCAATAAATGAAGCCAAGCTCAATAACCTGCGGTATGCAGATGATACAATAGTGTTTTCCAATACCATAGAAGGTAGTCCAAATCCAGTCCATATGATCCATATGGACTGGATATAAACACCAGCAAAACCAATCTAATGATCATCAGCAAGGAAAACATAACTGGAGCAAATCTGTATGTGAACCAAATGATAATGGAACGTGTATCACAGTACAACTATTTTTGAACTATAATCAATGAGTTGTGGGACAATACCCAAGAGATTAAATTTTGCATCGGAAAGGCAAAAAGTGCATTCTTGACTATGAGCTTTGTGTTCAAAAGCCATAACCTCATCCTAGAAACAAAAAGAAGGCTCCTTAAATGTTGCGTGTACTCAGTGCTTCTGTACGGAGGAGAAACGTGGGCATTAAAGGCGGAAACTCTATCAAAACTTCAGACTTTTGTACTATGGCTACACAGAAGGATCCTGAGGATACCACGGACAGACAAAGTCACCAATGAAGAAGTACTACGGAGGATGAACAAAAGCGCGGATTTGGTCAACATCATGAATGCCGTAAGCTGCAGTACTTGAGACATAATGAATAACGACTTTCTTAACCTACTAAGATAATATGAGACTCATTTGAAAGCTTACTTGTAAAGCTCATTTGAATGCGTAGAAGCCAAGTTACGATCGAAAGAGCTTTGAAAAATACTTATTTTGCAACAGTTTTGCACTAATTTTACAATATCTCGAGTTATAATTAATGAATTAAAGTTTAGTAAATGCCATTTTCTTTGTTTTTTTATTTAACCCTTTAACTGACGTGTGCGTCGATATGACGCAAACGTAGTATCATCAATTTTTGCTTTGTGTGTCTAAGGAGCCCACAGTTTCCATGGCATTTTATAATGTTTTCAATTGCCCTGGCGTAGTAAAACTTACACTAGAAATGGCTTGTAGAAATAAAAATCTGTTCAAAAAAAAAATTTATTTTACATTTTTCTCACAAAAAGAAATAATCATAGTTAATAACGAAAAAACAAAGGAAATAAATGTAGTTAAACAATTTTGTGAATAGTATAAAAACAATCTTGGCACATATGTGGTTTTTCGGGACATGCAGGGCACATAATTATATCGAACAGTCTTTTTCCATTTTTAGCGCATAATTTCTGCCTTGCTCTCGAGAGTATCTGGTATAGCAGCTCTTACAGCGACTTCTAATGACTTCGCCCTCTTTCTTCGCCACTTCTAGCTTATGTCTGATGGCTGGTAATGTCTCTGAAATATTATGATCGTCGCCAGCATTAGAATAGTGGAGTAACTGACTGCATAACCTTTCTCTAAATTTTACTACAGATAGTTTATTTTGATGGCTCTTATTATACAGAAACAATGAATTGACAACCGTTGTCCCCAGTAAACTCTCAACAGCTACTTTTCTATACCATTTTAGAACCTTTCGGACAGCCGAAGAATAGGAAGCTCTCTGGTCCGAAAGGTCTATAAAGGTTTTAGCAGTATTATAATCTACTGCCGCTAGTGGTTTCTGTCGCTGACATATTTCTACCATATTATCGGTGTGTACCGTACTAAGCATCAGGACATCTCTTTTGTCCTTCCACTTGAATACTGTAATACCATCATCACTCACCATTCCAAAAATTTGACCTTTAGCGAGACTATTGATGACGTTTTTAGAGTTACATTTACGATTGCTTCGTAAAGTAAGAACGAGATGTGTAGCTTGCTTTGATAACTTCTTGGCTAAATTCACACTTGTGTACCAATTATCAGTGAATAAATTCCTTGCAGAGTTAAAAAGAGTTTCCATAAGCTCTAATACTGTTCTGTCTGCAATTGATTGTCCATCTTGCTTAGTTATTTCTTTTCACAATATATTTTCATATTATATGTGTAACCACCATTGACACATAGTTTGAATATTTTGATTTCGAACTTATTGCGTTTACCCTTGATGTATTGACGAAACTTCAGTCTTCGTTTGAAAGGTATCATCGTTTCATCAATGCATACCGTTTTGGAGGGAATAAAATATTCCTAATATTTTATTACTAGCTTGTCAATAAGACTCTGAACCTTACGCAAACGATCTTCTGGAGGACACACTTCATTATCAGCAAAATGCCACATTCGAAGTATTAACTCAAATATGTTTCTTGTCATAAATTTACATGCCGGACTATTATATAGTTCAGAGCGACTCCAATAATGTGATAGAGAAGGTTTTTTATCTAAACCCATCCATAAAAGTATACCCAAAAATACGTGCATTTGAATAGCGTCAGTATCTCTCCAGTCATTCAGACGGGACTGCTTAGTTAGTGACTCATCTGTAATCTATCTTTTATCATGAACTTGGTCGAGCGTTGACAAATAATTTAAACACTCGAGTTCAGTTTTTGTTGTTAAATCCACAATAGCTTCTGGGGGATTCCGTGAGTTTTATCCATCGAGCAAAAAGACAAAAGAGGGAATGTAAAGGTAGTGGGGCAAAAATATTGTTAGACAGAAAGTGCGATCTTTAGAGGCCACATTAAACAAGGAAAGAGAGTTTTTCTCCTTGTTTGACATCAAATTTAGTTGGGTTATGTTATTGTATGTCCCAAATGTCACATGAAATCTTATTTATATTGAAGTTTTTTAACAATTGTGTCGCATTTTAGACTATTATCGTTAATAATTAATTAAAATTTTTCTCGCCTAAGACACATTCTAAAAAATATTATACAGCTACTGTTAACACTTTGACTGCCATGAGAAGCATGCCGTGATGCACGGCCAATTTGATTCTGTTGCCACGAGAATCAGCTTTTGATTCTCGCTTGTATGATATTTATATGGGATAGAAATATGTCCGGCTGGAAGGACCCTCTTTTTTTCACTATGGCGGCAGTATAAGTGTTAATAAGTGTCTGAAAATTTAAATTTGGTGCATTCGCATTTGCGGATATGTCCGCCATCAGAGGCCACTTTTTTGGTTTCCTTTTCATAAGGATTAGATTCCCTCTTTTGTCTTTTTACTCGATGGTTTTATCAAAGACAAAATTTTTTAGATTTCTGCCGAAACACTTTCTCCATGTTATATTGTGTTCGTCCAGAAATAATTCCTCGTCTATTTGTGATAGCTGTTGTGAATGTGGAGTAGAAGTATCAGAGAACGATTCTTCAGAATTGGAAAATATTACTGGGCTGTGGCAACCTAAAAGAATTATACTTGTACTACAATTTAATAATCAAGATCATATACCAATTTACCTATATTTTCGACTTCAGACTTAAGAGGACTGGTGTACTTCTTACGAATTTTCGTTTTTGATTGGTCAATTTTGTGTCCTAAAACAAAATATTTATAATAAAATCTACCTATAATTGTTATTATTATTTCTAGCTGTTATTTCTCTTTTTTGTTTCGAAGTCGACGGCCGAGTTTCATCTTCTGACGTTTCTGTTATATCCGGGAAATAATTTTGATCCGCCAACGAGTTGTCAGAATCGTCAATTTCGTCGCTCATTCCGCTCTCAATACTCACATCCACCTCATTTTCCTCAATATCTGCTGCCCATATTTCTAGCTGTTTTTGTTGTTTTTTATATTTTTTCCAAGACATTTTATCGTTCTGATACACTAACAATATACAAACTTGCAT